GATTGAACCCCTTCCTAACGACACTTGTAGATGCTGACCAAGTCGGCTTTATCCCGGGGAGACAGTTGTTTGAAAACACACGCCGTAACATCGCCCTCATATGGAGACAGGTCACCGCACGCACGCCCACACTGGTTGTCTCCCTTGACGCCGAAAAGGCCTTCGAAGGGTCAAATGGCCATACCTATTTGCTGTATTGGAGCACTTTGGGATACCCAAGGAGTATATCACCCTCATAAGAGCCATGTATAGTAACGTCCGTGCCCAGATACAAGTCGCGGGAGCCCCCCTCCAACCCTTTAGGCTACACAACGGCACGAGACAGGGTTGCCCCTTATCCCCACTCCTATTTGTTCTCTCACTTGAACCACTGCTACAAACCCTGCGACAACACCCTGGAGTGAGAGGAGTGACAAGAGTACCTAGGGGTACACCTGACAGCTGACCCGGACAAGCTATTCCAGCATAATAACATCCCCCTAATCAAAACGCTGGTGAAGGATTTAGATCAATGGCTGGTCAAACCCATATCATGGATAGGAAGAATTAATTCTGCTAAAATGAATGTCCTGCCATGCATTCTCTTCCTGTTTCAGGCACTACCCATACGCGTTAACAAGGCCCAATTGCTCCCTCTCCAGAGGGCAATATGCGCATTCATCTGGCAGAACAAAAGACATAGGATCTCCAGACAGGTTCTATATAGACCCAAACCTAGAGGCGGCCTGGGGCTTCCCTGCCTATACTATTACTGTATTAGCAGCCCAATTAACACAAGTAGCAATGTGGCACTCACCCCCGGGAGACAGAAAATGGGTTGATATAGAATCGCTCATGGTAGGGGCCGATATACCACAATTCGCAATGTGGGTACCAAAAGAAAACAGATCCATCCTTAGAGTTACCTGCCCAACAATCCTCAATTCCTTAAGAATCTGGGACTCCTCCCATATAAAACACAAACTAGCTTCCTCACCTTCCCCCCTCATGCCCTCTCTATGAAATAGAGCCTTCCCCCCGGGCATGATCCCCAGGGACTTCAGAAACATAGAACAGACAGGCATCCAGAGAATTTGCCATTTTTACCAGGGCACTGAGTTCATTGGCTTCGAAGGCCTCGCACAGGGGAGGCACTTGACGCCAGCTGATTTTTTTCTTTATATCCAACTGAGAGATTTCGCGAAACAACCCCATATAAAAAGGGCAGCACTGCAGCAAATGACGTTCTTTGAACGGCACTGCCTAGCGGAAACCGTACCCAAGGGGATGATAACGGAGCTGTATGCCCACCTTTGCTCTGCTAATGGGGACTGGAGACAATTGAGATATACGGACCAATGGGAACGCGACTTGGGAGAGGTTCTCGAGGGTGTCGAATGGCAGGAAATATGGGAGGCGAGTAAAACCACCTCAGTTTGCGTAACCCTACAGGAGCAATCCTTTAAAACAATGCTCCGATGGTACACCACCCCCGAGATATTATACAGAATGCATAAAACCACTACTGACACATGCTGGAGGGGCTGCGGGGAAAGAGGCACCTATATCCACATGTGGTGGGGGTGCCCAAAAAGGGTCCACTTCTGGTCCGCAATCAAACAACTGATACGGAGAATATTCTCCAGGTCCCTGAAAATAGATCCCTGGGTCTACCTACTCAACCGCACGTTCGAGGGCTGGACCAGGGGGAACAAAAACTTATACAAAAGCTCACCTTAGCAGCTAGAAAGGCAGTGGTGGCCACATGGCTGCAACAGGACGCCCCAAAGGTCCCAGAGGTTATAACGAGAATTAGAGAGATCCATTTGATGGATGAATTGACAGCCAGATTAAAAGGCTCACTTCAAAGATTCCTTAAAATATGGGAACCTTGGGACAGCAGCGACTTGGGGTAGGGCTGAGATAGATACCCAACCACACAGACCGCATGGTCCCCCTCCCCGCCCCCACATAGCACTAACAGGTGCTTGTCACCTTTGTTCAACAAATTCAAAATAGGTCCCACCTCCCACTCACTTTCCCCTTTTTATCTCTCTTTCACTTCTCTCTCTCCCTGTTTTGCTAGTCCAGTCCAGGAGGCAGGACTGGTAGATGTTGTTAGAGTATCTGACATAGAAAATAGCTGGTGTACAATACAGGAGGCTTCTGCTGATACCCTCGAGTAGCGGCGGATGCCCCACCCTTACGCTATGGAAAGCTCATGGTTATGTGAAGTTATCACTGCATACATAAACGCATGCTGGCAATGTCATTCTTACTCCAAAACTCCTTGACGACCGGCCAAATTGTAATTACTTGTGTAGAATATGTATTGTTCAAAGGCATGTTGCCTTTCCCTTTTTCACTAACATGGGATATTATATTGCACTATAACTGAATTTTGCGCAAGTCATGTGGCTACTGTTATGTTCGCTGACTCTGTCAAGATGAAAAAAAAAAGAATTTAAAAAAAAAAGAAAGAAAATTGGTCAGACTAGATGGGCCAAATGGTTCTTATCTGCCGTCACATTCTATGTTTCTATGTTTCTACATTTCTAGAACCTCTTCCTCTGTAAACTCACATGTAATAAATGACTAATTAGTCCTATTTCATAACTGAGGTCCCTTTCCTTCATTTTCATCTGTAAATACTGAACAAAAATATTAATTTAGGCAGTCAGCTAGACCTTTATCTTCTTCTACATACCTTCCTTCTTTTGTTTTTAGTCTAACTAATCCTTGTTTTACTTTGCTTTTCTCATTTATGTATATAAAAAAATGTTTTGTCCACTTTTTTTACTGACTTTGCTATTTTCTCTTCTGTGTGTGATTTGGAAGCTCTTATAACTTGCTTAGTCTCTTTCTGCCTAATCCTATAGATCATTCTGTCTTCCTCACTCTAGTTTTTTTTATAATTACTAAATGCTAACTTTTTGTTTTCTACTATTTTGGCCACATCTGTGGAGTCCCACAGTGGTTTCTTGAATTTTTTGCTTTTACTGACAAGCCTAATGCAATTTTCCGTTGCCTTCAGCAGTGCAACTTTTAAATAACCCCATTTCTATTGGACTCCATTTAAATTGCTCCAGTCTGATAATGACTCCTTTACACATATTCTAATTTTAGAAAAGTCTGGTTTTTTTTAAAGTCTAAAACTTTTGTTTTTGTGTGGTGTGAGTCAGTCATTGTTCTTATATTAAACCACACTGACTGATGATCACTGGATCCTAAACTTTCACCTACAGTAATATCTGATACCAAATCTCCATTTGTTAACACAAAATCTAGTATGGCCTCTTTACGAGTTGGTTCCTCAATGACTTGTTTTAGAGACAATCCTAGTAGGGAGTTTAGAATATGTGTGCTCCTGGCACAAGCAGCTATTTTTGTTTTCCAATTCACATCAAGAATATTCTCGAATAATCCTTTTTTTAAATACAGCAATTAATCTATTATTAGTCCAGTCTGCCTCAGATGCCAAAGTACGAAATTTTATGACATAATCTGAGTGTAACGGATCACCTGGCACCCCGACTGGGTACCTCAGTTGAAGGATGCTCCTAGCGCTTACAGAGGGCTCCAAGCGCTCCGCAGACCCCACTTACTGCCGCAGCTTGGTTGGGGTCTCGCCTTCTCCTACCCACCCTGGACCTACGACAAGCCTCCAGGTTCCAGTGGGTGAACCTCTCCTCCAAGAGAGTGAAGCATGAACAAGCTCTTAAAAGAGCTTAGTAGTGATGATTAGCTAAGGGAGTATGCAGAGCATAGAAATCCCTTGTAGTGATATTGCAATTCCCCCAATAAGAGACAGGACTCCAGATTGAGGGTGAAGAAGAACTGACTGTACTGGCACATACAGCCTCTTTTATTCACATTCTACAAACATAGTACTGCCCACAGGGTTTTGAAGAGCAACCAATCAACACATTACAACACAGCTAACACTCCCATTCATTACATCAGAAATCCTCCCCTCTGCCTGTGATACAATTATCTCAACACAATAGACTAACTTAATTATCACAGGCAGGAAAATACAGTATTATAAAACATATCACAGGAACCCCAAAACATGCGATAACCCCATAAATATATCCTCGGAACTGGGGGATCTGGGTGAACCACATATTAAAAATTCACCCAGATCCGTTCAGTAGTTTGGAAGATACAGTTTAATGCAGATTCCGCATAACATATACAGGCTAAATGAAAAATAATTACTGTTAAATGTGTCTCCTGTTCTGTAGTTTAAAACTACTGAACGATGTCTTTGTGCACCAAATACCGGCGAGATGGCACCGTGTAGAAAAGTCAAAACAGTGTCTGTGAGTTAAAATGGCCGCCATTGTTCTTACCATGTGCTTCATCCATTGTTCCATGTGCCTCTCATACATGAAATGGTGGCCACCCAGTAACTCCACAGTATGTCCCCAGATGGTTCTTAAAGGGCCAGCAGCAGCATAATAAAATACAGTATGCCTAAATCAATTCCTTAAAGGGCAATACATCCCAGGGCCATAGTCGCAGGGCAGTAGGCTGGCAAACAGGCCCCTCCAAAAAACAGTGGCGAGGTCACTTTCGCCACACTGAGATAGACCGGTTCCCTTTTTTAATAATCCTATACTTCCTATACTTCCCCATAATGGATTAGCCTACGTTAAGGCCTTACCTTTAAGTTGGTTCATCAGATACCCAATCTTGGCTCTATCTGAAGGAAATGAACCAGGTTACATAGTTACATAGTTACATAGCTGAAAAGAGACTTGCGTCCATCAAGTTCAGCCTGTTGTGGATCAGAAATCTTTGTTATATTCAGAGGAATCCCAAATTGTTGTTACAAGTGCACTTGGAGAAGCGAGAATTAGACACCAGACACCTGTTAGTATTCAAAATAAGCCTCTGACGTTTTATTAATCAGCTGGGTTTTATACATTAAAAAGTAAGTGCTTACGTGCGAATACTGTTAGAACAGTAATAGTAAGAGAGTACTGATAAGATATAGGGATGAGCGTCATGTACACATAACAAATAAGTTTCAAGGTAAGAGAGAACAAAAAAATGAGAGCAGAGAAATCTTAGCTGGGGGCTCTCTGCTCCCGGAACTTAGACATATATGGTCTTAAGTGTTGTTTAAGCATCAAGCATTTTCTGAGTCCAAGTTAGCCAATTTTAATATAGGATATCATTATATGACACCTATAAGCTTGAGCCTTGGAATCAAGATAAACTCTATCACAATCCCCTCTTTTGATCCAAGGGTCACCCAAATGTCCAAGGTATATCCAGGCCTGCTAGCCAAAGCCTGTGGGACTTTCATTTATTACTTCACCACGGTTCCCTTGGCCTGAGAGACCACCAGAATCAGCGGAGGAGAGTTCCTTCATTTGTTAGGCGAGGTAACATCATAAAAACTTTTCGAAGTCGGAGCTGGAATGTAAGTTAAGGTACGACCAACAGTAGGTTTGCTTTTACATAGAGAGGTTAGTAGACATGAAAAAAAATCTAAAGGTTAGGAAAATAGCCATAATGACAAATACAGCTAATAGCAAAAAGTACAACATTTTCTTAATTAATAAAGTCAAATCTGCAGTAAGGGTGTTTTTAACATCTCTCCTGTCTCTCAGCAGTTTGTGTAGCTGGGTGGTTTTAGTGATCAGGTCAGATTTGGAAAACATGGTCATGGTTAGGTGAGAGATTGCACAGGGACCTCCTGTAATGTCACCTGGGACATAAGCATAAGTAATATTTCCACAGGAGAAAGTCCATCCTTTAGGAAGATAGACATTGTAGTGGTAACTCATAACTTGGTGAGTTTTGGTACAATTCATAGTGGTGCTCAGGGCTCTACAATTCATGGTATTTTTCTACCATGTGGGGCAAAACAGGGATTCAGTATTAGGGTCTCTTGAACAATTACATGAAAAAGACCAACATAGTTCAGCGCCTGTCACATTAATTGTCTTCAGGGCTAGAGGAGGCTTGTCTACCAGTGGGTTGAAGGCATAAGAATATAGTTGTAGAGATTTATGGGGTATATGGGTATGTAGGTACTTCCTCAACAGTGAGATTGGGGTAGGGACAGCTATAAGACAAGATTCTATGGCGTTTTCAGTACTGAAGAGAGGGTTGAGGCAAAAGGAGGTTAAATTAAAAGTCTTTGCTATCTGCAACCATATATTTTCCTGCCATGCATTATTATTTTCTGGTCTCAAGTCAGAGTAGCATATCCGAACACAGCATAAAATGGTAAAGGATAAGAACAGCTTCATTTTGGTGGATCAGTCGGAGTGACTTGTTTACAGTGACTGACATGTATCCACGTGGCTTTTCCTTCTAGTTTCCCCGAGGTAGCCGTAGTCAATAGCACTTGGAATGGACCATCAAAGCGTGGTTCAAGTCCTTTCCTCACATGCCTCTTTATCACCACCCAATCACCAGGCTGCAGTTTGTGAGTTGCAGAATCAGAGTCTGGATCTGGAATAGAATCAAAGACTTGTTTATGCACCCTGCCTAATCTTTGGTGTACGGCCTGAACATAGGCATATAGTCATACTACCATGCTGCATCTGGAGGGTTTGGGGGAAATAGAGGCCTGTCTTTGGGGCACATCCAAACAAGATCTCAAAAGGGGATAGGCCATGTCTGGAATTGGGGGTGAATCTCATAGAAAAGAGTGCTAGGGGAAGGCATTCAGTCCAGGGCTTCCCTGTGTCTTGCATGGCTTTTGCAATCTTGTTCTTTAAGGTGCCATTTGCCCTTTCTACTTTCCCACTACTCTGGGGGTGATAGGGGGTGTGGAAGGCCTGACTGATCCCTAAGGCTTTCATAATTTCTTGCATTATTTCCCCAGTGAAATGGCTACCTCTGTCACTTTTAATCACTTCAGGTACTCCATATCTAAATACAAGTTCCTTCAGAAGTTTACTTGCTGTGACCTTCGTTGTGGCTTTCGACACTAGGTAGGCCTCAGGCCAACCTGAAAAGAGATCAATGCACACCAACACATATTCATACACTCCTACCTTAGGTAGTTGAATATAGTCTATCTGCAGTCTTTGAAACGGGTAAAGTGGCCTTGGTGTGTGCTTACTTAGTGTTTTGACAGCCTGTCCTGGATTGTTTCTAGCACAAATCATGCAAGCCTGGGTGTGTTTAGCTGCTAAAACAGTAAATCCGGGTGCTAACCAATGGGTGTTTACTATGCTGTTCATGTGCATCTTGGATAGATCTGTGGGTCCATGGGCAATCTGGGCCATCATGGGGTACAACACTCGTGGCAAACACAGTCTTTTACCTTTACTCCACATTCTGTCATCATCAGGTTCTGCATCTTGTTTCCTCCAGAGGTCATGTTCTTCCTTGCTTGCCTGTCTTTGTAAGCTCAACAGTATATTGTAGTCAATGGCGTCATCAATAAGAACAACTTGTAGGAAGGTATTACCTGTAGAGGGATGAACTTGAAAGCTTTGTCTGCTTTGTGGTTTCCTCTTGAGATTTTATCTGTGATCTTCATGTGAGCTGCCACCTTGAGGATGCCTACTTGAGTGGGTAGCAGGATAGCGTCCATAAGTGCACTCACGGCTTCAGAATTCTTGATTGGAGTTCCTGCTGAGGTGGCCATATAGGGCCAAAATCAGCGAGAGTCTGTATAAATATTAACAGTCTTACCAGAAGCCATTTTACACGCTTCAGCGAGCTTCAGCGAGTGCCTTCAGCTCTGCCTCCTGTGCAGAGCAGTGAGGAGCGAGTTCATCTTTTATTACCTCATGTGCAGAGACTACAGCATATCCAGTGTGGATATTACCCTCCTCATCAGCATATCTGGAACCATCTACAAAAAACTCAAAACCTGCATTAGATAATGGAGAATCAATTACATGCAAAAAAACCTGCTGTTTCTTGTGCCATTAGTGCTGCACAATCATGGGGTATGCCCTGGGAAATGCAATGTCCTAGGAAAATAACTTTCTCTACACATGCTTGCAGTTTTTGTCACTTTACAGCCTGCTTTTGCCAGGAATTTCAACAAGGAAAGAGTGTTTACAATACAAGATTCGATATTATCGCAACATAGGAGTAGGTCATCGATATATTGCAATAAAATTACGTTATTTGGCCTTTGCCACTCCAAGAATCTGGGCCATAGCCATGCTGTACCTAGTGGGTTAGTTTTGTGCGCCCTGTGGCAATACTGTCCAAGTGTACTGCTTGTGTTTATGTGTAAATGCAAATAAAAACTGACTGTCGGGATCCAGGGGGACACTGAAAAATGCATCTGCCAAGTCAATAACGGTAAATACCTTAGAGGAAGGTGGTATTTGTGCCAACAAGGTGTGTGGGTTGGGAACATTAGGGGCAATGAGTTCAGTTACAGCATTAATTGCCCTCAAAACATGTACCATACGGTACACCACAGGTTTCCCTTTCTCTTGCTTTTTCTTAATTGGGTACAATGGTGTGTTAGAAGGGGAGGTGGTCTGGACAACTACCCCTGCCTGCAGCAACTATTGCACAGATTGCAAAACAGCATCTTCCTGTGCTGGGCTTAGGGGGTATTGTTTTTGATAGGGAGGCTTGGCTCCGGGCAGGAGATTCACTTTGACTGGGGGCACAGAGAGTCTGCCTGTATCTGTCTTCCCTGTACCCCTTAAGGAATCAGGGACTGAGGACAAGTCAATGGTAGGTTCTGGCACATGGCTGGGCATAGTGAGAGTTGCCAGAACATTTGAAAGATATATAATTTGTTTGTCCTCTAAAGGCACAGACAAAGTTACTTTTCCAGTGGGGCTATACTGGATATTTGCACTAAGAGCAGACAGTATATCACTGCCTAGTAGATTAGCAGGGGCATGAGGGCTGACAAGTAGCCTTGTTACAAGGGCAGTAGAGTTGTGTAGCTTCAATTTCAGCTTGTGGGTAAGGGGAGTGTCATTTTCGATACCATCCACCCCTACACATGATAATATATCATTAGATTTCTCATATGGGAACACATATTTTTCCTGTAACATTGATTTAGCAGCGCCAGTGTCCAACAGGAAAGGGACTGTTCGGTCCCCAGGCAGTGTAACATTGATAATTGGTGAGTGCCCTGCAGAGTCAGGGATATTTATAATATGTAGGGACACTGGTTTGCCAAGTTCCTATTGGGGGGGGGTGGGGGAGAGGTCGTGGTGGTGGTTGGCTGTCATGGGAGTTATCATTAGAATCCTGGGGTTTTCTATTTTTAGGAGGACACTTGCAGTTACGTTTAATGTGTCTTTTCCTTCCCCATTTCTAGCAGTCTACCTGCCTTCTGTCTCCACCAGCTCTAGGGACAGTTACAGCCATTAGAGGTGTGCTCCTCTTTCTAGAATTTAGATTAGCTTCCACTCCCCCAGCCACCTTCACCAGATCACCATAGGTTAAACTTCTCCACTCAGGTCTAGCATTTTGGAGACCAGTCCTTATGGGTATGTGGATACCATCCATGAAGCAGTTAATAAGCAGTCTGGTGGAAGTGGTTACAACATCAGTGTAACCCAATGCCTCTCAAGCCATTTGTAGTCTGGTGAAGAATGTTTCTACAGATTCATCTTTCCCTTGTAGTATATCTCCTAATTTATGGGCTAGTTCCTCTGTCTTTACCTTAGCCCATTCTCTCATTGCAGTGACATAGCATGCTCCAGATGCAGACTTGGTTCTAAACCATTCATCTGTTTGCATGTTGCTTTTTCTGAGGTTATCTTCATGGGCATCTGTATATTTAGCAATTATTCTAGCCCAAATGGGGCCAGCTTTTAGTGCCACAATCTGTTTTAAATCCAAGTACACTGGTAAGTAGCTTGAATTGTGGATAGAGACTGGACTAGAGCTAAGGGGGCCTTTTCAACATCTGCCAGTTGCTGTATTATTGCCAGTTGTTCACTGGGTGTCCAGGGCTTATATTCTTCCCAGTATTGGATACCTGAGCTCGGCTGTCTGTTCTCATGGTATACGCTCTCAACTTTGGGTATCATGGGAGTAGAAAATTGTGGAGCTAATGGCCCCACTGGGGTGTCTGTGGGGGCAACTAGGGTTCCTTTAAGTCTGGACTACCTTCCTGCTCTAATGAACCCATAGGTCTTACTGGGACACCATATGAAGTCCCACTGCGTAATATTACTGGAAAGAGTGGTTTTGATCTCTGTAAAATGGAAATCGCCTGGCCTTTTGGGACCAAAGGAGTCCCTGGAGTATCCAGGTAAAGGGGTGGGTTTACAAGATTTTTCCCAGGATCTTGCCTACTCTGGGACCCTAGAGGTCCAAAACATTGATAATATGGTACACCTTTCCTGGTGGTTTCTCTACAACCACATTTAGTTAATTCAACAGCAGTATCATGCCATTTTTGTGCGACTTCTACTAAGTCATTATCTTCTAACCATCCTCTGTAATTTGCCATAAATTCACTCCATATATGTGGGTCTAGGGCCTTCTGAGGGCATACCAGCTTTCTTAAGTAAGCTCTTAACATTCTTAATTGCTCCTTGTCCTTTGTGATGCTTGACAATAGTCAAAGCCGTAAATCCCCCTTGGGTTCTTTGAGAGCTACCCATCTTAAAACTTGTAAGGGTTAATTACTTCCATACACAAGACAAACTGTACAAAAACAGTTTATTTAAAGGACCATTGCAGTGGAATTTTCACAGTTTTGTCTTCTAAACACAGATCAGGAGATCTGCCCTTGGAGGATTCTAACTCAAATTATAAAACAAATGACAAGGCAAACAATAAAAAATAACTTACAACCCACAGTTATATTCCACTATCTCAAGATTCCTTTCACAAGACATAACACAACCTCCACCTGAATATAACCATAATACCACAGAAAACAAGTTCTTTAGATCAGACGTTTTTAAGTCGTTCTTTACCCAGACAGACTAGTAGGACGTGGATCTGAGAGCGAAATTGATAAAGGTAGAAAAATAGTTTTTCTTACCTCACTGTACAGCTGATTTCACTGTCAAAGGGACGTCCACCTGTACGCTAGTGTCTGAGTCTCTCGACCGTCAGATCCCGGGGTCACGGCACCAAATTGTTGTGGATCAGAAATGTTGATCTTTGTTATATTCAGAGGAAGCCCAAATTGTTGTTACAAGTGCACTTGGAGAAGTGAGAATTAGACACCAGACACCTGTTGGTATTCAAAATAAGCCTCTGACGTTTTATTCATCAAGTGCTTACGTGCAAATACTCTTAGAACAGTAATAGGAAGAGAGCACAGATAAGACATAGGGATGAGCGTCATGTACACATAACAAATAAGTTTCAAGGTAAGAGAGAACAAAAAGATTAGAGCAGAGACATCTTAGGTGAGGGCTCTCTGCTCCCGGAACTTAGACATACCGTATATACTCGAGTATAAGCCAAGTTTTTCATCACATTTTTTGTGCTGAAAAACCCCCACTCGGCTTATACTCGAGTCAGTCTGTATTATGGCAATTTATATTGCCATAATACAGACCAGGGGCTGACAGTGAGCTGTTACTTACCTTCCTGCAGCTCCTGTCAGCTCCTTTCTCCTCCGTGCAGCTCCTCTGTCAGCTCTGTTCTGCTCACAGTGTAAGTCTCGCGAGAGCCGTCAGTTTTTATTTGCTAGCTGTCAGCCCCCCCACTGAACTGCCAATGCCACTGGACCACCAGCGATTTAATATTATTTTAATAATAATAAAATATTATTAAAATAATATTATTATATATTATTTTAATATTTGCATTATTTTTTTTTTAAATGTTTTTTTGTCCCCCCTCCCTGCTTGTTGCCTGGCCAGGGAGGTGGGACAAAAAACATTTAAAAAAAATTATGCAAATATTAAAATAATAATATAATAATAAAATAATATAATTATTTTATTATTATATTATTATTATTTTAATATTTGCATTTAAAAAAAAAATTTTTTGTCCCCCCTCCCTGCTTGTTGCCTGGCCAGGGAGGGGGGACAAAACACTTAAAAAAATAATGCAAATATTAAAATAATAATAATATAATAATAAAATAATATTATTTTAATATTATTTTATTATTATTTTAATATTTGCATTATTTAAAAAAAAAAAATTGTCCCCCCTCCCTGACCAAGCAGGGAGGGGGGACAATAATGCAAATATTAAAATAATAATATTATTTAAATAATATGATATTAAAATAATAATAATATAATAATAATATTAAAATAATATAATAAAATTAAAATAAAAATGCCCTCCCCTCATCCAGTTTACACATACTGCACAAACACACACACTTCATTATATACACACTGCATTATATACACACACACAACACACAAACACACACACACTGCATTCATTATATATACACACACACAAACACACACTCTGCATTCATTCTATACACACACTGTAAATAAATATTCAATTAATGTAATTTTTCCTGGGATCCAATTTAATTTAGAAATTTACCAGTAGCTGCTGCATTTCCCACCCTAGGCTTATACTCAAGTCAATAAGTTTTCCCAGTTTTTTGTTGTAAAATTAGGGGCCTCGGCTTATATTCGGGTCGGCTTATACTCGAGTATATACAGTATATGGTCTTAAGTGTTGTTTAAGCATCAAGCATTTCCTGAGTCCAAGTTAGCTAATTTTAATATAGGATATCATTATATGAC